GACTCACCCTTTGAAACTGTTGGACAGAAGTCGTGCAGCAAGACGGCAGTGCACAAGGACGATGCAAGAAGGAAGACATCGAAAACATCCATGAGGACATATAAGGTGTCAGGCAGGACAGCATCGAGCAGCGATTCAACGGCACCGTCCGGTGCCGTTAGTGAAACAGGCATTGAGACATTGAGATAGAGGATACACCGACCATTAATTTGCACGATTATATTTATACAATTAAAAGTGGATAAATATCAGTGCGTAAAAATATTCGCGTCGCGCATAAAATGATTCATATTATATTTGGCATTTCATTGTTTTCAGACAGATAAAAAAGAAAATAAAAAAAAATATAAAAAGACTTATAATTAGATTTATCTTTGGGATCCTATTTTGAAGCTCCTCTATATTGTTTCGCATAAGAATACATTCTAAATTTTTTTATCTATGTATAGAGATATTAAATATCATACTTCTACTAATTTTATAAGCATAGCACTAATGCTATCTAAGACTAAGATTAAGAAAATATTAAAGAAAAATGTATTTTTCATTATTTATATGTAAAATATTTTAAAAATCATTCAAACAGTATTGGTATTAGATATTAAATTATGAAAAATAATACGTTTTTATCAAAAAGTTATATACGTATATAATAAAAATTAAAAAATAAGAATAAATTACAAGTTCATTATTATCAATTTTAATTAAATTTTAACAAAAAATTTAAGATAAAACTTAATTGCCAAAATAGAACTAAATATTATTTAAAATTTTCTATGAGCATATTTTAATATCCTAAAGATACGAAAAATAGATACTTAATTATATAAACATGACAGCTTTAATATTTTCTATAAATTGCAAATTCGCGACAATTTATTTAAAAAAAATGCATATTTTAATTATTTTATTGCAAATATGGTAGAAGAATAGTCTGTCTCTGGAATCGGCATTATATATTAAAAAAATCCTAATAGTTTAAATAGTTTAAACTTGGACTTATTGTATAAATTTGATATTATGTATTGTATTAAAAATAATACAATACATTTTATTAATACAATACATTGTATTAAAAATAATACAATACAACATATCCAATGAGTTATTTATTTCAATAGAGTGCTTATCAGAAACTTTTTTTTAAAATGCAATTTCATAAATAATACATTATAGAATTTATTTTCAATAATAGCAATGGATTATTCTAAAAAATATAGATAAATAGAATTAAGATAAATAGAATAATATTTTTTAATTGCAGTCGTTTTTGCTTATTGTGTAATATTTATAGCAAATATAAAGTTATTTCTTTTCATACTCACTTGGACTAACATTGTTCTACAAACGAGGTATAATAACATCGAATGATAACATCAAAAGTATTTAAGTACATAATAAAAATAAAAGTATATCGCAAAGCAATTGTAATATACACGGTGCATATTCATATAATTCTCAAAATGTGAGTACTCGCGTAAGTACCTTCTTCTTCGATTATACAAAATGAACGATATGATTATGGTAGCTCCCGATGCGTCCGTATTTTAACGCTAACGAAGTCATTAAATTAAAAGCACATCAAGTTGTGCGACTATGCCCCTTCAGAAAGATACGGATGACCTAGCGTGACTTTAAAGAGGCTTTTTAGAATGTCAGTAATGTAAAATGAAATTTCTAGAATTGACATATAAAAATATCACATTGTTTTAATAAAGATTCCATTTTCGAAGAATTAAAAAGAAAACATAGAACAGAATTTTATAATAAATACATATATAAATGTTGTATTATTATCGTCTTCTTTCTTGTTGATTTCAAAATATTTTATGATAATTTCAGAAATTCAATTCAAGGCTGATAAATAAAGTCTTAAATAATAAGAATTTATATATATGCACAATAGAAAAATATCATTATACGACAAAACGTAAAAAAGTTATATTTCAAGTAAATTTATGCCAACAATATTTCAATTGAAAATTACATTAGAAGTAAATTTATGCCAACAATGTTTAAATTGAAAATTACATTAAGATAGTAAATTGTTTACAAGAAAATAAGCTTTAATACTTTTGCTTTTAATCTATATAATATAATAATATAATATAATAAAATAATAATAAAATATAATGCATTTTATTTTCTAAATTCTTTTTCAGAAAGTTTATATGTAACTCGTGAATTAATTTTTCTAATATAATAAAAAGCATATAAATTAAGAAAAAGAAGACACGTAAGAGTGAATATAATTAAATAAATTTATATAATAATCATGTTATTATTTTTTATTAACACCAATTTCAAAAATTTAAGATTTGTTTTTCTATAAGTTATTTTTAATTCAAATTGACACAACTATTATGCAAATATACAAATTATAAAATATGATATGCATAAATAAAAGATAAATGTGTGTAATGCATAAACAGAAATCCGATGCACAAGACCGCATGCAGGTGCACGAGACAAAGTGCGAGATTATTTGTTCGGAAAATTTTATTGTGCTTGAAATTGGTATACAAATAAATATCAAAAAAGTTGTAAGAGAAGAAAAGAATTCCTGCTAATATTTTTCTCTACTCGATTCATTTCTTTATTTTTGACAAATTGTTCTTCGTGCTGCATAATTGTCAAGAACTGCTGTCAGAATTTTACATTTATCTCCACAGATCCTTGGATAATGTAATCACGATGTAAAAGGCAAAAAAAAAAGACAAAAATACTTACGCAATCTTCTCACTTGGCGATCTCCAAGGAACATCGTCATCCATTTCGTCCTCTGACTCGTCACCCTCATGATCTAAAGATTCCTGACCAGGGAGATGTAATGTCGAGCTGGTTAACATGTCTGGTACTGGTAGAATGCTCGGTCTTCTACTTCCTGAAATATCGCAAAGAAAAGAGTTGATGTGCAAATTATTTTGTTAATGAATGACATTTTCACGAAATTAAAGTTTATTACTCTTTGTTTACTCTTTATTATAATTTTGTAGAAAACTTTGTTTCTTTAGTCAATATGATATAATAAATATATGTTGACTAAATTAATCAATTTTATTTGAATCTTTCTTTTACAATTTAAATTGCAATATTAAGATAAAAATGTTCAATATTGAAAATTACAATTTTTCAAATCAAGTAATATAATGTACAATCTAATTTTAATTTTAATAATACTGCATATATCCTATATTATATATTATAGAAGAAAAAAGTTTATTATACATTCAAGCTTTAATATTATATAAAAATACATTTTATTAATCGTATCAATTTAGAATAAAGAAGTAGAATATAAGAAATTTAACTAGATAGACTTTAAATAGATAGATGTTATAATTATGTTAATATTGTACATACACACTGGTATAATAAAAGCGTTAATAAGAAAATAGCTGTATTTATTTATAGAAATAATTTTCAAAGTCAATTGGGAAAATTTATTATTAGAAATTATTAGAAGTCTTTCAAACTATTATACGCTTACTTACTTTATATACACAAAAGTATGTCAAATGTATAAAGACAGTAATTTCAATGAAATGATGTGCAAAAAAATTTTAGATAATTATTAATCAAATTTTATTTATATAAATTTGAATATTTATTTAAATATTTATATATATTAAATTTGAATCTATTTTATAAATTTTTAATTTTATAATAAAGTTAGAAAAAACAAGTTTTCATAAAAAATAATGGGCTAATAATATCAATAGATTAAAATTTTAGGTTTCAGATAATTCTTATTTGTGTTCTTTTATACTATCTTTAAAATATGGGAAATAAAATTAATATATTTTTTCAATTGCAAAAATTTTTTATTTTAGACAGTAATGAATAATGTCTGACCTCTTCTTTGCGTTAGAATTTCTGGACTAAGTAGATTTGGATTCGGATCAAGAGACCGTGGTACATCAAGATGATTTCCTGTGATTGGTGTTTGTGGCGTTGATCCGCTTTCCTTTAAGCATTGTCTCGAGTCTCCGAATCCACCAGGATCGAGATAAGTTGCTGCAACATATAAAGTCGACTGCGATGAGTAATTCTAATATCAAGATCGATTACAATGTTCAATGGTCCTACAAAGTTTGCCAATATGTTATAAAAAGAAATGCGTTTACATCAATAAATGTGAATAAGAGAAATTAACGTTATTAAGAAACAAAAAGAAAGCAAAATAATATCAAAAAATACTACTTAGTTCATGTATTTTATCTATATAAATAATTGTTCATTTATGTGTTCTCTCAATATCAAACATTTACATATAATTATAATTATAATCATTTATTCTAGTGTAACTTAGTACACTTAACATAATTTAGTATATAAATTATATAATTTATACGTACTAAATCATGTAATAATACATCAAATATATATTTTACTTCTCTGAATGTAATAATCTAATAAGAAATATTAGAAACATATATTGTAAATGTCTAGTAAACTCAAATATCTTCTTACAGTTACTAATTATTTAATAAATTCAATATTAATTGATTAATATATTAATACTCCTAAAATATTTTTTCAATATTTTTAAATTTATAATACTGCAGCAATTATTTAAAAATATATATCCTCTTAAAAAAAAGTAAAGTTTGTTTATAATTAATTGAAGACTACACACACACACACACACACACACACACACACACACACACACACACACACACAC